AGCCAAGCTTTGGAATACAGTCTAATAGGGACAGTGACAAATTACTCGTTACCCTGTGAGTCTTAGGTTGGTGAAGTTAGTGCAGAAGCAGGTGCTCTTGGTTTCCTAACAGGAGGGCCACTCAAGAGACTGAGTCACCAGGCTTCTCCCCCACCTCCATTTGTGTGGGAAGCTCTGGGAGAACAGGTGTCTCTGCCTACCTGCCCATGTTTGCATCACCCCCATGAAGATTACCTGCTGTGAGTTTGTCTCTTGCTTTCAGCAGTGGTCCTGGTGTGCTCTGAGCCGCTCTGGTCTGTTAGCTCAGTCCATCATTCATCATATGCTTATTTGACCCCCCACAGCGCACACGTTTTCTTAGTTGGTTCCCTTGACAGTAGCCCATTGCCAGAATCCTTACTTTCTTGTCTCTTTTCTGCCACTTCATGCAATATGCAATGTCCTGGAAACCGCTTTGCCGAAATTTCTATCAAGCTTTCCCAGCCTAGGTGTCCTTGTCTCTTCCTTGCCACTGTCAAAGTTTAAAGGACTTACCTGATGTCAGTGCCTTGGACATCCAGCAGTGCTGCAGCTGTCTGTGTTACCTCTGGCTCTGCAGCAGATGTGGATGGAGAAGCTCCTGCAGGCTGACGCTGACTTCCAGATGGTGGGCGTGGGGGAGAAGACTGAGAGACAACAGGAGGGAAGGCCTCAGGAAGCTGGTGACAGGAGGGAGCAGACAGGGATGGGCAGAGGATCTAAGTGATGGGTGCTGGAGGGAGGGAGTCTAGGGAGGGAGGACTTGGTATATGCCTTGTGATAGAAACTGACACAGAATGTACAGTTAGCAAAATAGATATCTGCACATTTGCTTGAAACACAGCATTCTCAATATGTTTACCAGATTTATCTCCACATAAATATGTAATATATTAGTTTTAATAGCTTGTCACTAAAATTTACTGCTGTTATGTGGGTCCAGGAGACCTATAATTAGAGGTTGATGATATGGATAGTCATGAATTTGAGTTCTTAAACTAAGGAAATTAAATTGATACTTGATTTGCTCTGTTTGTTTTCCTTTGACCTTTAATTATTGGTGCAGATTATAATATGCATAAAGATACTTTGTAGTTTGGTATTAGCAAAGCTATGTGCAAATTAAGTTTTTGGACAGTCTTTTAATGTTCAGGACATGTAAATAACTGTAAGTCAAATATCAGAAAAGTCAATTAGTTGATCATTCTAAATTACAACGTATCTATAGGACTCATTGTTTGCATGTGTGTTGAGTGTGCTATTTATATAATCAAATGCAGGCACCTGACATCATTTTATCGCTGTAAAGCTCTTCACTTACTCTTCACTTTTGTTCAATATTGACAACTTACGCCTTGTATAAGCTTATTTGTATGACAAAATTTTAGTTAGCTGTTCAATTATAGAACATTGTAACACATATCAGGGACTGTGGTAGAATTGAAGCGTCGTCGTTTCTTTAGCAGATAAAGTAGATATCCCCATACACTTTGTTCTGGGTTAGGGTAACATTCCTTCATTCTTAGTAGCTTGAACTAAGAAGTTAGCACAGCAAAGTTTGAATCACTGAAACAACACAACCATGAAGTCTAAGGACTAGGAAGCATTTTCAGTCCTGAGGAGAGAGGAGTAAGACCCGATGCTACCTGCAGACTCCCTCAGAAAAGCGTTCATCCTAATTATTCATCCATGCACTCATGGACCATTTGGTGCCTTTTAATGAACATGCCCTTGAGGAACTTCAAGTAACAAAACAAAACAAAAACCAAACCAAACCGACAGCTAGAAACAATGAAACGGTATAATTAAGTACCATGCCAGTGGTACACAGAGGTAGAGTGTGGTGAGGTGTCCACTCTGAAGGTGCTGTAGGATTATTACATGCCAGAGTAACTCTCAGAGTATTAAACAAGCAGGATGGCATGGGCAGACCGTGAGAATGGAAGCAGGTGCAGAGAGCAGGTGGAAGTGTTCCCAGGCACAGCAGCTGATTCGCAGCCCTGGAGTGTTCTCTGCTGGGAACTGGAAGTCAAGGAGGGCTTCCTGGAAACCAGGAGATGGTTGCACATCCGGTTCTTGACAGGACTGAGGAGCTGTAAATAATGGGAGGGTAAGTGGGACTTGCCAGGAGAGAAACTACAGAGAGCCACTGTGTTGATTTGGGGAAGGGAAGCTCCTCTCTCTATATCTCTCTCCATCTCCTCTCTTTAAATTATCCTCTCTAATGTTTAATGTCCATGTGGGAAAGCACCTAAGAGATGCCCAGTTCCCCCACCCACTTTGAAATGTCTCCATTTCAGTCTGTTCCGTACCATATCATCTTTGTTATCTCAGGGTTCCAACCAACCTTTACACTTTATCATCTTACACCTTTTCACAGTAAGTTAGAGTCCAGGGAGTGAATAGGAGTGGTGGAGGTATTTCAGGGGATGAGGCGAGTTGAGGATGTAGAGAAGTGGACATATCCAACCCACAGAGAAATAATGTAGAGCCCAGTAGCTGTGCAGACACTGAACTATTGAAGTGACTTTTTAATATTCATATTTTCAAATACCATTGCTGAATTTTTTGTTTCCTCTTATAGATGTTGATCCTGTCTCAGAATATTGCCAAGCTGGAGGCCCAGGTAGAAACGATTACAAGGGAGAAAATTTCAGCTGTCAGTCAACTAGAGGAAATTCAGAACCAGCTTGCTTCTCAGGAAGTGGATGTCACAAAGGTCTGAACTTTTTGGTTTAATAATTGCTTAAGTACATATTTTCTTTGAAAATAGTTTTGTTTAAATTTATTTATTATTTGTGTGTGTGTGTGTGTGTGTGTGTGTGTGTGTGTGTGTGTGTGTGTGTAGGCACACACATGCCATGGTGCTCCTGTGGAGGTCAGAGTTAGTTTTCTCTCTACTATGGGCTCTCCCTCTGGTTTTCAGATACTGTCTGAGCCATCTCGTCCACTTTGAAACCATTTTTATTAATATCCAAAGCTCCTGGTGTGGTCAGGAAGAAGTTTGGAATAAAAAAAGTTTTATTTCAAGAATAATAAAGGTCAACTTAATAAGTCTATCCCCCCTCCGTGGTACTGCAAATCCAAAGATAATTTGTACCAAATAATTGACAAAGACAGACTTGTGAATGGGAATTATATTGCTTTAACTGTTGAATCCCTAACAAAACTTAGCTTTCTGAGTTAGTTAACTAGTAGTGATTGTTTTTCCTCAGACAGTGTGAGGTTGGCCATCCCAGTAACAGTTTAAGATATTCTGAAAGGGATGTTTGATATAAAACGTTTCTATCTCTCACATCTATTTTAGATCTGCTTCTAAAACCAATGGTTTAGATTAAATTCTTAGTTAAATCTTAAGTTTAGCATAAATTCCTATTTTATTGATACTTAAGTTACACATTTAAAAACTACAGCATTTGTGCTCTGGGTCGCACTAGTCAGTGAAGTGAGAACTAAAACATTTAATGGTTTTAACTAACTTTAGAATGCTAGTTATCTGCATTTTAAGTAAATCACTTGACTAGTAAGAAACTGAATATTGGAATAGGTAATATATAAATTAAATCAATTCATTCTTTACCACTAAATTTACAGATAATTTTATAACATGATAACCAATACTGACACATTTTATTCCATTGTTGCTTTATAATTAATCAGAATTATTTTAGCTTATACATTAATTTATACATACCACATACAAAAAGAGCTATTTCCCTTTTCCCTTTCTAATTCTCCACTTCCTAACATTCATGCTTGATGATGGAGATCTAAGAAGCTCCTGTTTGCTGGCATACCTCTGTGTCTGTCTGGAGATGAGATGGAAGTGAGATCTGCCAAGGAATCGAGGAATAGACGTGTAGGTTTGCAGGTGAAATCCGTGGTACTGCTTTGCGGTTCATTACAGGATACACCTTTTTATGAAGTATCATGATGTAATGAATGAGTTCTTGGCCCTACAACTCTCCAAAAGGACTCAAACATCAGAGAGTGACACATTAGACTAAGTGACTTTGAAATAGTCTCCAACCCTGAGAGAATAATTCTGGCTCAGTATAATGTCTTGACTTGTTTTAGAAGAAGTCTCAGTGTTGTGGATGAATACAGTAAGCAATGAGCTGAAAGGACCAAGAAAGTGAGAGTTAAAATTATAGAATCAAATGATCATTTAGAAGACTAGACTCAGACATTCGTTATCCAGTACACGTAGATAGATGTCATTGCTAATCACAGTTGAGAACTGTTATTTTCTAATGTTAGAAATTTGAGAGTTTTTCACTTAATTCGTAGACCTACCTAAGCCAAACAGTTTGGAATGAGAGATTTTTCTGTAACTCTTCATTTTTATTTAGTATTTTCAGTTTAGAATTTTTTCTTTTTCATTTATTTTTCAGGGAGTGGGTGTCAAGACAGGGTTTCTCTGTGTAACAGCCCTCCCTGGCTGTCCTGGAACTTGCTTTGTAGACCAGGTTGGCCTTAAACTCACAGAGATCCTCCTGCCTCTGCTTCCGAGTGCTGGGATTAAAGGTGTGTGTTACCACTACCCAGCTCAGTTTATAATTTTTTGAATGAAAGAATCAACTCTCATGCATTGAAGATTGATGTGTATGTGCGTGTGTGCGTGCATGTGTGTGTGCGTGCATGTGTGTGTGTGTGCATGGGTATGTGTGTGTGTGTGTATGCGTGTGTCATTCTTTCTTGTTCTGCTTTCTCACTGCTCACTACATACCGGTCTTGCTGCAGTGCCTATTGTTTCTAAAGAGCTTTTTATTTGAGCAAAGGAAGTCATGTAGATTTCATACTTTACTATATTTTAATATCTCAAATATGATGGAACTAATTTTTGAAGCTTCTAAAGCCATCATTTTTGAAGAAATGCCAAATTGAAAAGTTGCAGGCAAGAATAACCATTAGATAGCATGCAACTGTTAAGACTGCATTGGAATATCAGAAAGAGTTGTAATTTGACTCTACTTTCCATGGGTTCTCAGTTACAGCAAAGGCTTATTAGTTCTTTACCTAGACTTTCCTGGTAATTCTGTTTCTCAAATTTGTTTCTCTATGTGCAGTGACCTGGATTAGAGAAAGAAAAAAGAAAATATTGCATACATGATGTTTTGCAACATTTTAAAGATGTTATATGTATTAATTAGCTAATAATATATCATAGTTACTTCATTTGAATGTATGTTTTTCTCTTATATAGAAGGCCACAGTTATAATTGTAGAGCATGCTTAAAGCCAATATATGACTTTTATTGGAAGTTATTTTACAGTGTTTAAGTCATATTGTGTATGATTGATGCTGTCTGTAATGTTTACAGTAAATTCTGGTATTGTATGCCTAAATATCAATAATATAGCTTATTAGCAAAGAAAAATCTTTATAATTTTCCTTAAAAACTTAACTGATGAAGTCTTTAAAGAAATATTTCATAGCTAGGGGTGGTGGTGGCATTCGCCTTTAATCCCAGCACTCAGGAAGCAGAGGCAGGTGGATCTCTGTGTTCAAGACCAGCCTTGTCTACAGCGCAAGTTTTAGGACAGCCAGGGCTGTATTTTATAATATAGAGAGGATGTTTGACCATATGTGTGAATAATAACATATTTTAACTGTTCTAATTATGAATTTTAGTATAATTTTAGATGGTAGTGCCTTTTGCTGGTATTTATTTAAAACTTTTTGGATTTTTTGTTTGTTTGTTTGTTTTTCGAGACTGGGTTTCTTTGTGTAACAGCTCTGGCTGCCCTAGACCTTGTTTTTTAGACCAGGCTGGCCTCAAACAGAGATCCACCTGCCTCTGCCTCCCAAGTGCTGGGATTAAAGGTGTGCGCTGTCATGCCCAGCTATTTGAAACTATTTTATATGAAATAATTTTGAAAATTTACTTCAATTTCTTAGTTATGCATTTCATTATTTTATTGTTTTTGATTGTTTGAGAAGGAGAAGTGTGTGTGTGTGTGTGTGTGTGTGTGTGTGTGTGTGTTCACGTGTGCCCTCACTATGGCACTCGGAAGTCAGAAGACAACTTGAAGGGAAGGAGCAGGCTCTCTCCTTCCACATGGCATCCTGGGATTGGGCTCCGGTAATCAAGCATCATTACCTGCTGGTCCTTCTGACTTAACATTTCCTTGTTGCAATTGGGAATGTTAACCTTAGTAATTCCTTGTATTGCCTTCAAGTCTTAAACTGTATTCAAGACTCTTAGAGAAGTCTTGCTGTACTTTATCTGTGTGTCCTCTAGGGGGCACCAAAAGATCTAATTGTCAGCATTGCTCTGCCGATTCCAGAGGCTATTGATCTGTTTTTACACTCTAACAGGTGTGTGGAGAAATGCGCTTTCAGTTGAATAAAACGAAAATGGAGAAGGATGAAGCAGAAAAGGAGCACAGAGAATACAAAGCAAAATCTCAAAAGGATCTTGAAATTAAAGATCAGGTAAGAAAAGACACAAGCACAACTATTAAGATATTAGTAACATGTTTTCTGAAGTTGGTGTGGTTTTATCCCTAAGCTATGTGTTTCTCTGGTATTGTTTCTAACTAATGTAAGGACCCAGTTTATACTATTAAAAGAATTTCATTTATAGTTGCCTGACATGAAGTGGTGAGAATACAACTGCTTGCATATGAAATTCCAATTTGACAGTTCATAAATATACATTTGGATATGTATCTATTACTTAGAAAAGTTTAAAAAATGTTCTAATGCACAGTTTGAACCTAAAATATACGTATATAAAGTTCTTGAAAGATGCCAACTTGCATCCAATTTTAAATGAAAAACTTTAAAATTTGTAAGATGAGATGAGTTGATATGTAAATATGTCAATCAAATTGATTGTTGGCAGAATGGAACCAGTTTTAACTAAGATAGCCATGAATATGTTTGCTCAGGAAGCCTAAATACAGTGAAATTAGAAATGTTAGGGAAAATGCTACTTGCTTCAATTTCAATTTTGAACAGATGTTTTCTGTTAGAACTCTGTTGAGAGTGTATAGATACTCCAGTTTTAATTGACTCTGGAGAAGGCTTCTAAAGAGAAAGTTATGGCAGATTGACTCCTGACGCTCTATTTTTATGTTACGTTATAGGTCACTGAAGGTTTGCATTCCTTATAGCCAAGAAAAGCAGTGTATTCTATTAAAATAATAAGACTGAGGTATCAGTATCAATAATTAGAGATGTCCTTACAATTTAGAAGTAAGTGGCTCCAGATAATTTTACAACATATTTCTAATCAAGGCTTTCTATCATATTTTCAACATATTGTCCCTTTCACCCCGTCAGCTGGGATGACAAATGACACAAAGGCAACTGGGGAAAGTGTTAAATAAGAAAGTGAGGATGAAGTTTGTGCAAAAAAAGTCCAACCGTGGCTGAAACCCTTAGGACTAAATTGAAACTCAGACAACTAGAATAAAGTAGTTTTTAAACCACTAGATGCAGACTTTATGATGTGTTCTACATCTTGGGTCTAATATTAATGTGTACAGACTTCATTCATCCAGTTGGGGGCGTCCCTGATAGTGGAATGGAAAGTTCTTTCCATCAAGGAATGAAAGTCTGGGACTTTCCTTTCTGATATCCTACAGGCTTTTTACAGTTATGGTGGCACACCCTGTAACACTAGTCAGTATCTTTGGAACTATTATACAGAACTCTAGAAAAAAAAAAACAAAAAGGTGTTTTTGACTAATAGAACAAAGAAGCAAAGAGTTTTGGAATGATTTAAAATTATATTATCATGATTTAAAAAAAAAACCTACGCTAACAAGAGGAGATCACTTGGAAATGAGTAACCTAGTTTAAAAGCACTTTTATTGTCTTGTCTTTGTTTGTTTGTTTGTTTTGTTTTGTTTTTAAAGCTCACTAGCTTCTTTTAAATGTACAAAGGCCAAAGTTGTAAGGAATGATTTTCCTTTGTCACTGTTTCCTGATGTCTGAAATATTAAGTTTCCCTGATGATCCTTAGTGATGCAGTGTAGATGGAGATGTGCCTTTGGGGAGGGCACAGTTGTTGGGAGTAAGCCTGTGGAGGGGCAGGAGGCTGTACTTGGTACCGTTTTTTCCCGGGACAGACTGTGAGGAGATCGTGTAGGTCCTCTCTGTAACAGTTTCCGAAAGCGGTCGCTTCTCATTCCCTGGGTGATTTGGAGCAGCAAAGCAGCGATTGTTCTTTGGTCTTTCAGCCATGACCTGACCTTCTGTCTCTAAGACCGGAGAGCTATTTAGCTTGGCCACCATCTGCACCCAGGAGAGAAATTTACATTTAGCTTTGAAAAGCTGGCCATGGAGAGCATCTATCTGAAATACCTACAATGATATCAAGCATATTTAGTTTTAAAGCCTGATATGTCATACAGTCATCGGAACCAGAAGCCTGTCTCTTGGTTTGCAAACAGGTGTTCCCCATAATATAGTCATTTTATCCATATTTTAGCTAATCTGGCCACTTGATGGGTTTTGAAAGTAGGTGGGAAACTGTGAGATCGGAATGTGGTGAGAACAAGAGCCTCTTTGATGTATACAAAACAGGGCAAATGGTTGACCACCAAAATGATTTTCCTCGTGACCTGAGCCTTGACTCTGGCGTAATTAGAAAGAAAGGTTAGAAGAGGAACAATGGCCGTCTCTTCCGCCCACTTTCTTCTTTCTCTTTGTATTGTGTTAGGACCCATGGGTGAATTATCCTTCCCATCGACTCCTTTGTATCGCTCCAGCTTAGAGAACTGCTGTCAGTCTCGTGGGATGCTTCTGCACAAGAAAAACAAAAGGCATTCGGTGTGGAGATTGGGAAGTTTGTGCCTTGATTTTTTTTTTTTTTTGTAAATATCAGATACACACACACACACCATCATGCGACTTTAAAAGCATATGAAACAAAGGGAATATTATAAGCAATCTATGCACTTCTAGTACTTATGTTCATTATTGTGTCAATGCTGTTCCATAGAGTTCACAATTTTTCTCTTAACTTCACCTTCATTGTTGTATTTTTTCATCTTACCAATATCAATTTCCTCTTTCTCATTGTCTTCCTCTACCTCATCTCCTTTTGCAGAAATATTTAAAACAGATATCAGATATTATATTTATTATTTTACCTACAAATACTTTATTGTATATCCATGAAGGAAAATTTTATATTATATTATCACACTGAGCAATATTAACAATAATTAGCAGCAAGTGTCACTCAGGCAAGGTTTACATTTCCTTATCTCAAAAATGTCTTGTAGTTGGTTTATTCCAAATGCAAGGCAGATGTGTCTTTGTTTATTCAAATGCTAAGGTCCTTCCCTCATGAAACGGAGGTGAAAGGAAAATTTAGTAAGAAACTCACCTGTCTTTATTATCTGTTAAATTTCCCATGGAAAGCTTTGCTTGTGCTCTGTACTTCTAAAACATCTGGTTGCCCTCTACAGAGCTACGCCTTCATCGTCTGCCACACTATGGGAGCACGTAACCACCATGCGGCACTGATTTTCATCACATTCAAGAAGGAGGCCAGAGACTCTGAAATACAAACTACATCATTTCAGAACCCTATATTTAAGATTTAGGAATTTTCAGGAGACCCTGGCATTGTTAGGTTAACTGATCGGAAATGAAAGGTACATTTGGAAATTTTCTTTGTCAATTTTGAATTTAATAGTTGAGTCTCAAAGATGTGCCTGTGTAGCCCCTAACCTTTATCAGGGCCAGTGCAAGTAAGAATGCAGGGCCTTTTGTTCAGAAGAGAGAAGCATGATGTTAAAGGTGCTACAGTAAGAAGCTTTCTTTTCTCTTCTCTTTTCTTCTCTTTATTCTTTAGTCTCTTGAATGCCTCCTCCTCTTCTTTCTCCTCTGCTTCCTGCTTCCCGTCATGATAATTTAAATTTGTTGTTTAATTTGAAACTATATTTAGCATAAGAATTAAGAGTGGGTGTAGGTCCTCATATGTACCCAATAACTGAGGGTACATATATACTCCATCAACTTCTAAGTTTTCTTTGTTTATGTGTGTGTGTGTGTGTGTGTGTGTGTGTGTGTGTGTGTGTGTGTTTCTTCATGTGTATGCACATTTGTGTGAAAGCCAGAGTATAACCCCAGATGTCATCCTCGGGAATGCCATCAACTTCCTTTGAGATAGGGTCACTGGTCTGAAGTTCACCAGTGAGTGCTAGCTTGGCTCTCCAGCAAGCTCTAGGGATCATCCTGTCTCTGTTCACCAGTAGGGGGATTACAAATGCCTCCCATGTCTTCCTCTCGCTCCCATATAGAACTCCACTAGAAAGACGTGAGTCCCTTCTCAGAATAGAAGTAAACTGTGGCCCAGTCATCCCAGTTGACTCTGGCCGTTGTTGCTGAAGCTGGAGTCTGGATGGGGAGATGGTCCAAGAAACCAGAGCAGTTGGGGAAGCTGTTTATTGGTGATCTGAGCTTTGAAACCACAGACAATAGCTTCAGAGAACCTTTGAGAAATGGGGCACTTTTTCGGACTCTGTGGTGATGTGAAACCCTCAACAGAAGTCAGTTGGCTTTGGTTTTATGACTGGCTCTTGTGTTGAAGAGGTTGGAGAAGCAATTGTATGCTGGACTACACAAGGTTGATAGGCATGTGGTAGAACTAGAGAGAGCCATTTCTAGAGAGGAGTCTGTAAAGCCTGGTGCCCATTTAATAAAGAAGACATTTTTGTTGGTAGTACTAAAGAAAATACAGAAGAATACAATCTGAAAGACTACTTTGAAAAGTATGGGCGATTGAAACCATCCAAGTTCTGGGAGTGAAGCCGAGTGGGAAAAGGGGGATTAGCTTTGGTGAATTTTGGTAATCATGAGCTACCAACTGTCGGTGGGTGTAATTGTGACATGAAAAGGGCTGTTTCTAAACAAAAGATGCAGTCCACTGACCTCAGGTCAGGGAGGTGGGATGACAGCTTTATGGAGGACATTTGAGATGTGGTAGAGGTAATTTTGGTTTTGGTGGAAACTTTGGTGGAAGGGGAGGCTATGGTGGCAGAGGTAGTTTTGGAGGTTGATTTAATGCATTTAGAGGTGATGGTGACAGCTATGGTAGTGGTCCTGGTTATAGTAATAGAGGAGACTATGGTGATGGCAGACCAGGATATGGAAACCAAGGTGGTGGATGCAGTAGTGGAGGAAGAGGATATGATGGCTACTATGATAAAGGAGGAAATTTTGGTGGAGATAACTGTGATGGTGGGAAGTACAAAGGTTTTGAAAATTATGGTGAACAACAGCAATCAAATTAGGAATCCATGAAGGTGGGCAGTGTTGGTGGAGGCCACTCAGGCAATCCCTATGGTGATGTCAGGCTGTGGACCTGGTGGATCTGGTGGATCTGGTAGCAGAAGGCTTAGCAAACAGCAGAAAAGGGCTCCAGTTCTCAGAGAAAGGAGGAGAAGTTGTCAGGGGAGCAACAGGTTACTCTG